AGTGGTATATTAGAAGGGTACGTGTCTCTGGAGGGAGTGGTATATTACAAGGGTACGTGTCTGTTGAGGGAATGGTATATTATAAGGGTACGTGTCTCTGGAGGGAGTGGTGTATGACAAGGGTATGTGTCTCCGGAGGGAGTGTTGTATTACAAGGGTACGTGTGTCTGGAGAGGGTAGTATATTGCAAGGGTACATGTCTCTAGAGAGAGACTGGTGGTAGTGGACACGGAGAGGTATGTGAGAATTGTGAGCAGGACCTGATTTTGTGCATTGTGTCTTTGCAATCCCTTGTCGAGTTCTCCTTGACTCTCTCACTCCATTCGAGTATATGATCTTGGCAACGATTATTGCCAACTGTGTTGTACTGGCCCTGGAGCAGCACCTCCCCAACGGAGACAAGACGCCTATGGCCAAGAGTCTGGTGAGTGCACTGCCGTGGATTGAGGGGAAAAGGGATGGGAAAGACCTGGGAGGAGAGTGAAAGAAGGTAGGATGAGGGGCAAGTGGAGGGAGTGAGATAAAAGAGATGGGGATGAGGGATAGGAGGAGGTATGGATGAGTGGGTGGAGGCGGCAGATTGAGACAGTAGCAGAAGGAGAGTGGAGACGGCAATCCTGGTGAACTGGGTGTGAAACTGGAGTAGGGAGGAGTGGCTGGGAAGGGAGTGAAGGCTTGGGGAGCTGGAGTGGATAAGGGTCAGGAATGTGGGATCGCGGGAAGAGTGGCAAGGTGGAGTTAGAATCTGAGATTTGATGCGAGTTATAGCTGGGTGATTCTGTGATGATTCCTTGGAGAATGGGGGTGGGGTGAGGTGTGGAGCTGGGATAGTGATGGGGTATTGATGTGTTGGACTCAGAATCATTCTTTTCTGACTGGTTTCCTTGTTGATGCAAGAATGGAGTTGAAATTTTGCTCTGAAGATGTAAATAGTTAAAGACGACCGTCCTCATTGAGTCTGTTCTTGATTTCATCCCCCCCCCCCCTCCCTCCCTCTCTCTCGCTCTCTCTCTCGCTCTCTCTCCCTCCCCGTCCGTTTCTCCTCCAGGAACAAACTGAGCCCTATTTCATTGGAATCTTCTGTTTTGAGGCTGGGATTAAAATAGTTGCTCTGGGATTTGTCTTCCATAAAGGATCGTACCTTCGCAATGGCTGGAATGTGATGGATTTCATTGTGGTTCTGAGTGGGTGAGTGATTGCATACATCTTCATGCTCCCAGGCAACATCAGCCCCTGCTTCAAGCTGCTGCTATTGCATATGGGACCGTCCCGTATGTCCCCCCCCTCTCCTTCCCCTTCCCTTCCTCCCCCTTCCCTGTCATCTCCCCCCTCTCCTTGTCGTTTCCTCTCTCCTCGTTGCCTCTCTTTCCACCACCTCTCCCCAGTTCTTCTCCACCCAGCTCCCCCGCCACCAACCCTTTTTCCCTCCATCCCCCTCGGTTCTCCTTCCCCCCACCCACCCCACAACCATTCCCTCTGTTTCCCTGACCTCCCAGTAGAAGTGCCCCTTAAGTTGTTTGGAGCTGTGCCTGTGGAGCGATCGTCTGCATTCCTGCCCTGCGCTGGGTTTGAGATGATGCTGTGTTGTTTGGGTTGTTCCTGATGACCTTATACTCATCATGACAAGTGCAGGTATGTGAATGAACCTCATCATAGTTGAAAAGAGCACTTTCAGACCATCCCGTGGTGTAAGTAAGGTACAAGTAGAATAACAGTTCCAATAGGAGCACAGTCAGTGATTCTAGTTTGGCCTGGCAATAACTTTCAAGAGTCTTAGACTTTTCACCATCCCTGTTTGCAAAAGTTCACGATCTCACATTTTCCTGCAATAAGTTCCATTTGTCAAGTCTTTGCCCACCTCATTTTATCTATAACCTTTGCAGATTCCTTACACCCTCATTTAGTTTGCCGTCCTGTTTATTTTGTATTGTCAGTAAATTTGGATACATTTCCCTCTACTCTATCCTTCTAACCCATTCATATAGATGGTAAATAATTGAGGCCTTAGGACTGATCCTTGTGGCACTCCACTAGTTACGCCATTCCAGTCTATAGAAGACCCATTAACCCCAACCGTGTCTTCTGTGTGTTCACCAATTCTCAGTCAGTGGCCTTGTGGTATCATCGCTGGACCTCTCAATCTGGAAATCCAGGTAACGTTTTGGGGACCTAGGTTCGAATCCTGCCAAAGAAGATGGTAGAATTTGAATTAAATCAAAAACCTGTAAGAGTCTAATGATAACCATGAAACGATCCCCAATTGTTGGGGAAAAACCCATCTAGTTCACTAATGTCCTTTTAGGGAAGAAAACTGTCATCCTTACCTGGTCTGGACTATATGGCACTCCAGACCACACAGTAATGTGGTTGACTCTTAAGTGCCCTTTGGATGGGTAATAAATGCTGGCCTAACCAGAGACACCCTCATCTCATGAATGAATTAAAAAAAAATCCATACTAATGCAGCTGCAGCTCCTGGAAGCCTGAGTTTCAGAGTTGGAGTGCTGTCTGGGGACACTGAGCATTTGCGAGGCAGAGAGTGCCATGGATAGCATGTATGAGAGATGGTCACCTGCAGAATCAGACTCCACAGGCAGGATGGGAATGGATGACCACCAGGCAGAGCAGGAGGGGCTAAGTGCAGAAATCTCCTGTGGTTATTCCCCTGCCAAACAGATCTACCATTTTGGATACTGTTGAGGAGAATGGTTTCTCGGGATAACAGCAGCAGCCAAATTCATGGAACCACAATTAGCTCTGCTGCAAAGGGAGGAAGAGATGCTATAGTTATAGGGGATTCAATCGTAAGGGGAATCGATAGGTGTTTCTGTGGCTGCAAACGAGAGTCCAGGATGGTGTGCTGCCTCCCTGGTGCTAGGGTCCTGGATGTCATAGAGCGGTTGCAGGATATTCTGGAGGGGGAGAGTGAATAGCCAGTGGTTGTGGTACATGTTGACATTAACAACATAGGTTTAAAAAAAGGGAGCAGGTCCTAAAAGAATACAGATAACTAGGAAGAAAGTTGAAATGTAGGACCTCAAAGGTAGTTATCTCAGAATTGCTACTAGTGCCATGAGCTCGTCAGAGTAGAAACAGCAGGATATATAGGATGAGCACGTGGCTGAAAAAATGGTGTGAAGGGGAGGGTTTCAGATTCGTGGGGCAATGGGACCAGTTCTGGGAGTGTGGGACTTGTGCACAAACTGGGACAGGACCAGGATGGATATCCTTGCAGGTATACTTGGTAGAGTGGTTGCGGAGAGTTTAACCTGGTGTGATGGGGGATGGGAACCAGAGAAGTAGGGCAGTAGATGCAGGAATTGAGAAAGAGGTGGAAACCAGGGCGAACATAACTAAGAAGAGGCAGGGAAATGCTGTTGAAGAGGGCAGGGGAGGTGGTCTGAAATGCATGTGTTTCAATATAAGAAGTATAATTGGCAAGGTAAATGAACTCAGAGCGTTGGTTAGTACTTGGAACTATGACACTATTATTACAGAGACATGGCTGAAAGAGGGACAGGACTGGCAGCTGAATATCCCAGGATTTAGATGTTCCAAGTGTGATAGAAAGGGATGTAAAAGGGGTTGGGGAGCTGCATTACTGGTAAAGGAGTATCTCACCGCTGTATTGAGGGAGGATACATCAGAGGACTCATGCAGTGAGGCAGCATGGGTAAAACTCAGGAATAGGAGAGGTGACATCACAGTGCAGGGGGTATACTACAGGCCTCCCAATAGCCAGCGGGAGATAGAGGAGAGAATACGTAGACAAATTTTAGAAAGATGGGAAAACAGCAGGGTTGTTGTGGATAACAAAGTGTGGAGCTGGAGGAACACAGCAGGCCAGGCACCCGAAACATCAGCTTTCCTGCTCCTCTGATGCTGCCTGGCCTGCTGTGTTCCTCCAGCTCCACACTTCATTATCTCTGACTCCAGTATCTGCAGTTCTTGCTGTCTCAGTGTTGTTGTGGTGGGTGATTTTAACTTCCCCTGTATTGACTTGTGCTAGGGGCTTGGATGGAGCAGAATTTGTAAGGGCCATTCAGTAGGGTTTCTTGAACTGGACCTAGTTTTGGGAAATGACCCCGGCCAGGTGAGTGTCGTTTTAGTGGGAGAGCATTTCGGGAGTAGTGACCATAATACCATGAGTTTTAAATTACTCATGAATGGGGATATCAGCAGTCCTCGGATGAAGGTGTTAAATTGGGGGAAGGCAAACTACAATAATATTAGTCAGGAACTGGAAAGTGTTGATTGGAGCTGCCTGTTTGAGGGTAAATCCACATCGGATATGTGGGAGTATTTCAAATGGCAGTTGATTAGAGATCAGGAGTGGCATGTTCCTGCGAGAATGAAGGATAGGTATGGCAAGTTACATGAACCTTGAATGACCAGGGATGTTATGACCTTGGTCAAAAAAAAGGAAACATACGTAACGTCTAGGAGGATGGGAAGTGACAAAGCCCTTGAACTATATAAGGAAAGTACTTAAAAGGGAATTAGAAGGGCTAAAACGGGTCATGAAAAGTCTTGAGCAAACAGGATTAAGGAGAATCCCAAGGTTTTTTAAACATATATAAAAAACGAGAGGGTAGCCAGGGAAAGGGTTAGCCCACTCAAGGACAAAGAATGGAATCTATGTGTGGACCCAGAAGAGGTAGGGGAGGTCCTAATCAAATACTTTGTGTCTGTATTCACTAAAGAGAAGGAAATGGTGGAGGATAATCTCAGGGAAGGGAGTGTTGAGTTTCTAAGCCAAGTTGCTATTAAAAAGGAAGAGGTGCTGTGCGTCTTAAAAAGTATTAAGGTAGATAAGTCCCTGGGTCCTGATGGGATCTATCCCAGAATATGGAGGGAGGCAAGAGAATGAATTGCTGCAGCATTGACAGACACCTTAGTATCCTCTTTGGCCACAGGTGAGGCCCCAGAGGACTGGAGAATAGCCAATATTGTCCCTCTATTGAAGAAGGGTAGCAGGGATAATCCAGGAAATTACAGGCCTGTGAATCTCATGTCAGTGGTAGGGAAATTATTAGAAAACATTCTCAGGGACAAGATCTGTATGCATTTAGAAGCAAATGGACTTATTAGTGATAGACAGCAAGGTTTTGTACGGAGGAGGTCATGCCTCAATAATTTGGCCAAATTTTTTGAGGAGGTGACAAAGATGATTGAGGGAAAGCGGTTGATGTTGTCTACATGGAATTCAGTAAAGCCTTTGACAAGGTCCCTCATGGCAGACTGGTACAAAAGATGAAGTCATATGGTATCAGGGTGAGCTGGCAAGATGGATACACAACTGGCTTAGTCATAGAAGACAGAGGGTAGCGGTGAAGGATGCTTTCTGGAATGGAGGGCTGTGACTCGTGGTATTCCACAGGGATCAGTGCTGGGACCTCTCATGTTTGTGATCCACATAAATGATGTGCAGGGAAATGTAGCTGGTCTAATTAGTAAGTTTGTGGACGATACAAAAATTGTTGGAGTTGCGGATAATGAGGAGGATCGTCAGAGGATACAGCAGGATGTAGATCAGTCTGAGGCATGGGCAGAAAAATGGCAGATGTAGTTTAATCTGGACAAATGTGAGGTGATGCATTTTGGAAGGTCAAGTACAGGTGGAAATAATACAGTGAAGGGCAGAACCCTTGGGAGAATTGATATACAGAGGGATCTGCATGTTGCCTTCATTGGAAAGGGCATTGAGTATAAGGATAGACAAGTTATGCTGCAGCATTGTAGAACTTTAGTTAGGCCACACTTGGAATATTGCGTACAGTTCTGGTCACCACATTACAAGAAGTATGTGGATACTTTGGAGAAAAGGTTTACCAGGATGTTGCCTGGTATGGGGGATTTTAGCTATGAAGAAAGGTTGGATAGACTGGGTTTGTTTTCACTGGAACGCAGCAGGTTGAGGGGTGACGTGTTAGAAGTTTATAAGATTGTGAACAGCATAGATAGAGTGGAAAGTATGAGGCTTTTTCCCAGAGTGGAGGGGTCAATTACCAAGGGACACAGGTTTAAGGTGTGAAGGGGGAAGTTTAAAAGAGATGTGCAGTGATGAGGAGGTGCCAGTACTGGACTGGGATGGACAAGGTCAGAAATTGCTCAACACCAGGTTATAGTCCAACAGGTTTATTTGAAAACAGGAGCTTTCAGAGCCTCGGTCCTTCTTCAGGTGTTAG